TCAGATCCCCTTTGCCTAAAATGTGAATTGATACCGATCTTGTGTTTTCATGATACCCCATGGTCATCGTGTCAAAGAATTTCCACTTACTCAAATTGCAGTTTTCTAATCCAAAGCCCTTATTAGATGGCAAACTCTAGATCGTAAACACACCATCCTCACCATTGTGCTTGCATTGCCAGTGCTCAGTAACTATTCAAGTATTTGAGTGTACTAATTGGTGGATGCGATGGGAGTATATTGGGCCATGAAGGATAGTTAAGAGGTCACAGTGCAGAGATGGGCATTGCTGACATAGAAACAGGTATAGAGGGCCAGCAGTTGGCATAGAGGTTAAGGCACTGGATTCCACATGGCCGACTCTATGATTTCAGTCCTGGGCCATGTACATGCCTGCCCAAAATCCTGAGAAGAGTATGGAGGAGAAGAGATTTCAGAGTGGCCAATCTCCCCTGAGGGGTGATTTCTCACTTTCTGTCTCTCTGGTGAGTGCACCTGTCCTATAGCCAAAAAAGAAAAAAGATAAAGAAACAGGTATAGACAATGGCCAATGACTGATTTGAGTATAGAGCAAGAATTGATGAACTGCAGCCTTTAGACCAAATTTGTCCTCGTCTTGGACTTTTTGTAAATAAAGATTTAGCATAACAAAAGCCAGACTCGTTCATTTACATATTTTCTATGATTTTTTTTCCTACATGGACAGTGTTGAGTAGTTGCCGCCCTAAAACCTGCAAATCCAAAATATTTATTCTCTGCATCTTTACTAAGAAAGTTTGCTGCTCCCACTATCAAGTAGAAAGGAGAGAGTAGCAGGAAGTGAAATCCAAAAGGTAGATAGAACCAAATACCAAAGACAAAAAACACAGAAGATCTCGGCCCTGGAAACTACAAGGTATAGTTGAGAGAAATTAAGGAAACATATCAGTACATCTAAAACTTTAGTGCATGAGGATTACCTAGAGGATATGTTTAAACATAGATTGAGGGGCCTGGATGGTGGTGCAGTGGCTGAGCCACATGGAAGACTTCCACATCTCCATATGGAGTATGTTGGGCATGCACATGCCCACACTCTGGGGCCAGCTGGGGTGGATTGCGGCATCGAAATCCTGAAGGATTTCTCTCTCTCACTCGCTCACTTGTTCATGGAAGAAATAAATTAATAAACTTAGAAAAACAAAAACACAGATTGACAGCCCAACTCCTTAAAGTTTCTGATTCAGGGGCCAGCAGATGGCGTGGTGGTTAAGGATGCTGGACTCCCACATCACTGACTGTGGTTCCAGTCCTGGACCTGATGACCTGCTTTCTCACTTTCCCTCTCTCTGTTCATTCTCCATCTGTCTCTCTCTGATAAAATGTAGAATGAATGAATGAATGAATGAATGAATAAATAAATAAATAAATGTTAAATAAAATAATTATTTTAAAAAAAGAAGTTTCTGATTCAGTAGATCTAGGGTGGGACCCAATAATTTGTATTCCTTCTTCTTTCCCCGTTTGTCTTCCTTTCTGGGGGTGGAAAGGGGAGGCGAGGGGTAAGATAGGGTTTTCTGTCATGATCCTCCTGCTTCAGCTTCCTGAATTGCTGAGATGACAGGCACTTGTCACTGCCCCCAACTTTTAGGATGGGCTGGGGAGTAAATCCTGGCCTCCTATGTGGCCTCAGCCTTTTGGGTGTCAGCCAGCACAGGCTGCGGCTGGGCCATATTTCCAAGTTCCCAGATGCTGCTGC